CCCGCAGTGCTGCTGCTGCCGTACCCCTTCACCAACCTGGTGCTGGACGTGGTGCTGCTCTTCCTCTACCTCGGCACTGAGGCCACCCGCATCTTTTTCGGTAAGTCCTGGGGACGGCGGTGGCATCCTCCTGAGGTGACACCGGGCTCCAGAGCCCCCCCGGGGACCGTGGCGGTGCCGTTTACCGCGTCCCCACCACTGCAGAGCCCTGGGGGGGCCACGAGGGGGACACCCCGTAACCGCGTACCCCGCAGGGTCCAAGGGCAACCTGTGCCAGCGGAAGGTGCCGCTCTCCATCAGCCTGGCCCTGACCGTCCCGGCGGCCGTGATGGCGACCTATTACCTGCTGCTGCAGACCTACGCCCTGCGCCTGGAAGCCATCCTCAACGCCATCCTCTTGCTTTTCTATGCTCTGGAGCTGCTGCTGGGCATCCTCGCGCTGGTCTCCTTCTCCAGGTACCGCTGCCCGGCCACGCCGTGCGGCGAGCCGGGTAACAGCCGGGGCGCCGCAGGAACCGGCACGGTGAGCTGCCAGGCTGATTCGGCGCCGATACATCCCCCTCTTCCCTCCTTCGCAGCGTGGATTCGTACTGAGACCCCGCGCCACGCCAAAGGACCGGGCACAGGTACGTGAGGCGGCAGAGAACCGGCGGCTCTGGTGCCGGTTCCACCTCTCAGCCCGCAGCACGGGGCCAGGCGCGCGCCGGTGCCCGCAGGCAGCCCCGGGCAGGAGAGGTCTCCGCCCTGCCTGCAACCTGCCGGGCAGCACCAACCCGCTGCCACCCGGGATGCCGAGATCACTTCGAGGTACGGAGAATTTTTTTTTTTTTCTACAGCCTTCTCAGAAAAATTCACTATTTTCCAATAAATATTTATTTTTACCTGGTGCCTGGGCACATGGCTTCCCCCGGGGCAGCGGGAAGCGCTCGGGAGCTTCCAGCACTGCACCGCTGCCGGGAGCGGGTCTGGGGGTGCAGAGGAGCCCCCCCAAAAGTGTCAGAGGATGGTGAGGGTCAGGGACAGCAACCACAGAGGCAGTCCCCAAGCGCCGCTTTTCCACACAGCAACCCTAAAACACTCCCACCCGTTACCTAAAAGACCGTCGTAGGGAAGAACCGCGACAGAAAAGCCCTACAGCGCCGTATAAAAGATTGACAACGTCATCAAGTTTATTACACAATTTCCAACCTATCAGAAAGACAAACAAATCTAGTCACTGCGAGCAGGAGGGGCAGCGCCTCGCTGGGTGGTTAATAGGGGTTTGCTCTGCACTTTTTTTTCCCCACTATTTGGAAAGAAACTAAAAATTTGTGTCGTTAAGTAAAAAAACAGAACTCTCCCACCGAGCGCTCCCCCCGGCACTCACCCGCTGAGCCGGCGCCTTGTGGTACTTTACAAGATGGGTGTTTGTTTGTTTGTTTGTTTGTTTGTGTCATTTCAACCTAAAAAAACCCCTCTGGGGCCGGATTTCTCCTGTCCAGCAACAGTTCAGAGGGCGATGCCGCCCCGCTGGCACCCGCCCTGGAAGTCACCTCGTGTCTCCTCAGCTCACCCCAAGCCTCCTGGGCTCTCCCTCTCCCGCCGGAGGGACCCCGAGGGGTGCGGGGTTGGGGGGGCTCCTGCCTGGCTGCCCCCCGCCGTGTTCCCACCACCCCGCGATACAGCCGAGCCGCTACCC